GGAAACCTCCCCTCCTCTACCCCCCCTCCCCTCCCCCCCCTCCCTCCCCCCAACGGATCGTGGCAAGGACGCGTCTCTGCTTCCCATCACTCGACAGGGTGAATGCTCCCTGCAACAGAGCAGAGAGTCGCTACCTCAGATCCTCCGTCCCATCCTTGCACTCCCGCCCGCTCCCTCCCTCCCGACGGTGTTTGTGCGAGCGCTGCCCCAGGTGAGTGGTCACCCTCGTTCGACCGGTTCGTCCGCCGTCGTGCGTCGATTCTCTCCGGTCCTCTCCCTCATTTTTTTCCTCGGTTCCGTTCTTTTATTTTCGGCGATATAGAGCGATGGAAAGGTAAACCTCGAGATCGTGGAGAGTCGAGTTGTTATACTTTCCCATCGGTCGAGTGCATCGAACCCTAAACAGGGAGAATGAGTTTCGCATTAATATTTCCATCGTGGAATAAAAATTATGTTTTTATGAAAGGTATGACAATACTGTCTCGGAAATATCACAAAAAATTTTTAAAGTAAGTTGTTTTGAACATAACTCATGTAAGTATAATAACAGCAATAGAAAGGTTCCATCTGACCAGATTCAATGCAGTCAATCCACAGGGGGAAAAATGATTAATTAAAGTGCCGTGAATCTAGCCTGGAAAATGCCGTTCACATTGGGAACTTAGAAACGAATTCATTTTACAATTTCGCCTCGACGAAAAAAAAAAATTGCCAAGAGCGGTCAAAGGAAAAAGTTTCGTAAACCAATCATAGGAACGCGACACGGAGCCCCGCCGCGGTTGCTGCGACCAGCGATGCTCTTCCACGCCTTCGCCCCTCTCCTGCGGTTCCTGCTCGGATTGGCGGCGGAGACGAGGGACCTCCTCGCCTACGGCCTCTTCCAGGGGGAGATCCGGTCGATGGACGACGTCGTCGATCCCGTGGGTCCCGGGATGCCTGGGGAGGACGTGACGGAGGGAGATTTCAAGGTCGCAGCGGGAATCCCGGAAGGTAAGCATGGAATTATTATGCTCCACTAGTTCACTACTACTTAGCATTATTTTTTGTTCTCCCTTCTTTCTCCGACCGACTGAAATTTTCTTAACTATGGTACAGTATCTTCCTAGTTCCTGGACTGTCTTTGTGTTTTATATTCGCATTTTAGGATTACATGCTGGTCTATAAAATGTTCTAGTGTCATCACTGGCATTTAAAGTAGTTGATATTCAAAAAAGGCACTTCCCTAAATACTTAGTAATATTCTGATGTGAATTTCTTTCTCCTGCAATCGTACTACATCCAAGGCAAAGAACCAAAATCTAGAAAAAGGCATGTCCCATTTGTGTAAAAAAAAAAAAAAATGACAGGAACGGACTCAAGATGTTACCCTCCTTACGGCTGTTACGCGATCGGCCCACCGTGGAGCTCCCCGACGAGACGCCCCGCGCTGTTCCCTCAGGAGCCAGGCGTGATCCGAACCTCCTTTTGCCTCTACACGCGGAAGAGCCCAAGCGTCTGCCAGGTTGGAGGACGGTGCGTCAGATCGATCTCGTCGGGGCATTTTGTGATCGTGTCGTGCGTGCTCGATAGAGGCTGAGGCCGGGGGAGAGGGAGACGCTGAGGGAGTCGGGTTTTCACGGGGGAAAGCAGTTGAAGATCATCGCCCACGGGTATTTGGGGCACGGAAACGAAAAGTGGATCTTGGTAACTTCCCCCAAACGTTCTCTTTCCTCTTGCTTATCGTACGAGATCGATAATTTCATGAATTTCTCGGTGAGATTTTGAACCGAACGACATGAGGCATGCGAGCGCGACCCACTCTTCTGGAATAACCCGTGACGACATTTCCTAATTCCGCTGCTGCAGGACATGAAGGACGAGTTCCTGGCCCACGAAGACGTTAACGTGATGATCGTGAGCTGGTTGAAGGGGGCGGGCCCTCCCTACAACCAGGCCGTGGCCAACTTGCGGCTGATCGGGGATATCACGGGACGACTCCTCCACTTCCTCGGGGTCGGTCCCTGTGCGAAACCGCTTTTGTCATGGGATCATCCGAGAGTCGGCTTTCTTTTTCTCGTAGAAGGAGACTGGTTTCAAGATGGAGGACGTCCACATCATTGGATTTAGTCTGGGTGCCCACCTCGCCTCCTACATCGGCACTTCCGTGAAGGTAATTTCGTTTCCAAACGCTGCGAAATCCTGGAATTTCTTGATGTACGCGTCTGTTCATCCTCCCTCGGAATAGAGACTGGGCGGGAAGGTGGGAAGGATCACGGGGCTGGACCCGGCCGGAGAACACTTCGAATGGGAGGACCCGGAGGTGAGGCTGGATCCGGGGGATGCGGAGTTCGTGGATGTCATCCACACCGATGGAGCCCCGTACGACCCTTCGTATGGAGGTCTTTTTTCCTTTTTTCTTGGCAGCTAGGAAAGGGCATGCGAGGTGTGAAAAGAGTAAAAATATTAAGGACTCTTTCAGTTGTATGTCTAGGTTTTCCCGGATGCTACGTGAACGACATATATTCCCAGAAAAACGTTGACATTTCATTTTAAAAAATTTTTATTGCCAAAGTAACGACATGTTCAATTCTTCTGATGAAATCGAAAATTGAAAACCGACACGGCAATCTAATCCCTTGAGGTGCCTCGTAATCCTACCTCGTTCTCCGATGAGGAACAAAGAAGAATCTGAAATACTCACGAACGGCAAGCGTCCAGGTGGTTCCATTTCCCTTCTATAGGAATACGGCTCACCGGACGATCTGCAAGAAAAAACCTGGCAAAAAAAGTTATTGGAGGAAGCAGAAGATCGGCGAGGCCAGAAATACATGGAAGCAGAGCACTCGAGCGTGTCCTCCCGCCCCCTACCAACTCCAGTCCCAGTGGCGTAGGCAGGAAATCAGCAAGGGGGGGGGGGGGGGGGGGGGGGGGGGGGGTGAGGTCAGGTCGACACCCCAACCCTACGCCTAGCTCCACTACCCGGAATTGGCCTTTTCAAAGAAATCCTGGTCTGGCATCTTGGGTCTGTGAACGGACATCAGACTTTCCTCGAATGGGGCATAGCTAAAACTGGAATTCCCAAGGAAGGTTCAAATATGCCTGTCGGTGTCACTGACCTGGACGTTCAAGGGGGGGGTTCTAACCCCCTAACCCCCCCGCCCCCCGCCCCCCTTCCCTACGCCACTGTCCAGTCCACTTTCAATTTAAACCTGCTTTCCTTAACATTGCACGGAGACTTGCCTCAGAGCATTTGGAGAAAATTTGGAGGAAACTTAGGGGATAAGTTGAAAACATCCATCGATACGCATTGAAAGTTCGGTCATCCCGTGCATTACTCCATGCTGACTGAAATTCCTGATTCCACACCGTTAATAACAAAGGTTATCTTAAGAAGGCAAGCGGAAAAGGGCTCTTTGTGTCTCAACGTTCGTCGCACCCATCCAATCGTGGAAAAAAATTCATTCTAAATCGAGAGAACTTCTCCCTTTCAATAAAATAAACCTATGCCGTCCTCCAAAGGTCATTGTCCTTATCCTCCTGATGGGCTATCGTCACATTCTGGCACGTATTTCCGACAGGTTCGGGGCGAGGGCTGATGGAACCCCTCGGACACTTGGACTTTTACCCAAATTCCGGCCTCGAAATGCCAGGCTGCGACCAGGCGACCGTCAACAGCATCGTCGTCGAGAGGAACTTCTCCGTCAGCCAAGGTCGGTCACCTCCGTCGTTCAAATCCTCATTGAATGCGCATTCACTTTTGCGCATTTACTTCACGAACATCATTCTTTCATATCGTGAATCCACAGCGCTGATCTACGTGTCCGCCTGCAATCATTTCCGCTCCATCGACTACTTCACCGAGTCGATCGCGAGCGACTGCCCGTTCCTCGCCCTCCGCTGCCCCGACTGGGAATCGTTCGCGTAAGCGCCGCATCGCCCGGTCGCCGGTCCATCGTCCTCCAGCCTGCATGTCGCTTGCGACCGTTGCAATTGCATATGCAGTGGTCCGTCGTTCTGGGTGTATCGATGAGATGTTGCACCGAGAGGATTCATCGTAGTCGAAGAGTCGATCACGTGCACGATGTTGTAGATGTAGAAATTCAAATCAGGAGCTTTTTAAAAATTTTCCATTAGCTTCATTAATTTGGGGGTTCGTTCGACAATTGGTAAGTGAGATCATGCTCTCTCCCCCGAGCGCTTCTTCCCCTACCGATTTCATTTCTCACGATTGACTAATTTTTCCCTCACGGAAAGACAAAGTCGCTCAGCGATGAAATTTTCTCACGCGATAGGAAGGGGAATTGTCCTAATTGCGGAGAAAACATGGAGAAATGTCGCCGAATGGGCCACCACGCCCGGGAACCCCAGCACGAAGGCGAACCGACGAAACTCTACCTCTCCACGGCCGAAGCCTCCCCCTTCTGCAGTGAGTCGACACCAACATCCCCCGATCCCCGCTGCCGCGAATGAATGAAGACCCTCAATCTGAAACCAGGGGCGATGCACAGCGTGCGACTGGAGTTCTCGCCGATCCACGCGGACGGGGACATCCGAGCCAGTCTCCATCTGTCGTCTGGCAACGGATCCGAATTGCAATCCATGTTAGTGAAGCTCTAATTCGATCCAGATCTTTGGCACATAAATAATGCTAATTACTTCTTATATCAATGTATGTTTTATACATCGCGAATTAGCGCCCTTTCTGAAAAGGGTGCTTTTTGGCGATAGTGGATGAAGGCCGATTTAGGTTAGTCACATGGAAAAGCCTGAGTCCTTTCTTCTTCTCTTTATATTTCCAGGTTGTACGAATTTTTACGTAAATATATGTAATACCGACAATGGTTCGAATGTGGCGACTTCCTCGAGCTTCGGCTGAAATACCTTTCCAATAGAAACCCGTTACGACACTTCAGGCCTGCGAGTCGGAGGTGTCTGAGTCCAGCGTTAAAATAAAAGCAAGGAATGAAATGAAACAAGCACACCGGTTGCATCGACATTCATACAAAATGATGATTATAACAATGAGAAGTTAACCTACAGGGTGGCCCAGAAGTAATAGGGCAGTTAGTGGTACAATCAGCAATCACTACAATATGTTATCATTTTATTAATATTATTTTGATTATTAATTGATTTTTATTTTAATTTCAGAATCACTAATAATAAAGGTTGCAAGTATGGAGCATCGTAATTACCAACGGTAATTACGGTACAAACGAAGAGCGTGTCTTCATTGTGAAGACATAAAAATTGTCGTGACTGCTGATTGTACCACCGACTGCCCTATTACTTATGGGCCACCCTGTATTTAAGCGGAAATCCTAGCAATGGAAGGTAGAGAGTGAGAAGGTAAATGAGAAGGTTTCAAACTGGTAAATAATGCATAGTTTTCTGAGGGAACCATTAGAACCTGATTCAGACGCAGATCTGTAAACTGTTAGCTGAAATGGTTCAGAGTTTAACCTAGGTGAAGGATAAACAGTCAAAAACGGTTCGATGAGTATGAAACACTATTTGAAAGGGTTAATTTCATTCTTCTCCTAAATGCGATGAATTCTTTATATCATTTTTGATTCAGAGGATTAAACATTTAACTAGAAGAGTTTCATTAATGGTAATGTGGATGGTAATGGTAATGAGAATCCATGAGGACAGGTATAAATATTTATCCCCTCTGAAGTTATATATACAAAATACTAAATGGGAAATGGTCTTTCAAAGAAAAATAAATCACATTTCCATCTCCAGAGGAAAAAGTTAATATTTGAGTGATCGTCTTTTTTAAAAGAGAGAGAAAATAGTACATGTACAAGGTGGGCAATATGTATCAATAGTGTCGTTGATCTGTTACGTGCATATGCTCTAAACGACATGGGAATCATGACTCACCCTGAAGATAAGCCAGTTTCTCATTTTCGTAAAATCCTCGAACGACTATCTTCAACGAACGAAAATAGGGTCACTGCGTATAAGATCAATTATCCTATCAAAGAAATTAAAAAAATAGACCATCAAGAAATTGAATGAATATATCCTTTTTAAGCTTAATATTCATCCCTAAACAGATAGATTTAAAAAAAATTAGAATCGGATACTTCCGATCATAGTTCAGGTTTTAATCTTTTCAGAGTTTAACAGAGGGAATGGCATGGATGAAAGTAAAACACCATTTTCAATGGTTATTTGTGTGATCCAAAGTTCCCTTATAGACCACTAGATGGAGTTATGGTGCTAACGTTTCACACAGTACATAGAATAGCCCTTCCCTCTCTCCCGGGAATCTTCCTGACAGATAGATATGTTATGTCAACTCGTCCTGTGTTTCGCCTTGCCACATTATAGGTAGTAACAAACACGGACACTTCCTAATTTATTATTCTCATATTTCAGACAAATTCCTGGATCTTAGACCAAGAGAAGCTTGTCTTCACAAAAAGTATCCCGTCCATATACGAATAATCCGTATCATCATGAAAAGTCTGAGTTCAATAAAGAAAACCCTCCAAATCATTCCTAAATTTATTCGTTCTAACGACTGGATGATAAAATTGGGGAGTTACTCTATGGCACTCAATGACCTTTCACCTTTATGATTACATGTGTACAAGGAAGGTTACACATTAATCCTGGTCCGTTTATTATTTAACCTTTTTAAAAAGATTCTTAATTAAACCTATCCAAGAGGCTAAAAATGTAACCCACAAATTATAAGTATGACTTGTAGTTGAAACATCCTTTAGGGAATAAAAGCTGAACCATGTTTGCTAAAAGTGTGGGATACATTATGTATTTATTCACTTGGTCCCATGGCCCAGCCCATGCTCATTAATCCGCAAACCAATACCTGAGTTGTTTCGTCCTTGATCCTCGAACCCAGAAGTCCTTCCTCGCCCATGATTGCTCACGGCGTGATTAAACCCATGTAGCATTTCTTTCAGTGACTGCAGGTTCTGCACGTCCCAATAGTAATCCATGTTTACTCGGCCATTGACATGAAACACTGCTTCGTCTGAAGACAGTCCATGCCAAATATTATTGTTATTTTCAGTTCTCTTGCACCCGCTCACAGGCGGGTGCTCACAGAGCACGACGATCAGGGTAACCTTCGTTGAGCGCATATATCAGGTACTACTCGTAATCAATTTACTCTAAGCAGATTCATCGTTTATCCGTGAAAATTCATGTCTGGCGCATTGAATATCTTTACTGCTGCTAATACACCTTCTAAAACAAACAACCAGACCCCAACAGTTTACACCGGCCAGCACCCATGAGTTGATGGTGTGGCGAGTTTTCCTTGAATTTCCTTTGAGGCTGCCGTGCACCGTTGCACCGTTGCACCGTTCACTGTGGTTATATGTGTGCGGAAAGATCGCAATCTTACTAGAAAATGAAAAGAAGACTTCACGCTTCTATTCCCTAACAAATTAACACAGGTGACAATAACGCTGAAATTACCCTTAGCCCCAAGTGGAACATACTTTCCGAGACACCCTTCGTACATATCCTCATTTTTTTATATTTAGAAGCATTTCAGTGAGCGCTGAGGAGACGGACAAGACCGTGATGGTGGGGATGCCCCCCTCGAGCGACATCCACGAGGCATCCTGGGAAAGCCATGCAACTTCCATTCTGCCACAGCTTCCTGCCATTCGGCGAATCACCATCACGAACCTGGAACGGAAAAACCAGTGAGCTGATCGGTTTTGCTCTTTTCGTCGACTTGAGCTTCGATGCCAGTTCCGGAATGCCTGTGTCTCAAGATCGTCAAGGATTTTTAAAGGGCTATTTTGAATAGCAGGGTCATTTTCTGTGGGGGAGGAGAGGTGAGGCGGGGTGAGAAGACCGTGATCGCTCTCAATTCTCAGAACTGCTAGCATCTCCGACAAGGAACGTGGGAGTTTCCCTTCTAAATTGTTTTCTACATTCCTCATGATTGCATGTCGTGCAGAACTTGATAAAGTTTCCTTCGATCGTTTACACCACTTATGAATTGCAGTTCATCAGACTTCGTGATGGTAAATAAAAGATTCCCGTAATAACTCACGAATAAACCCAAATACTGACCAGAGAGTACATTTTCATTTTTTGTTCATTACGCAATCGCCCAAATCCAAACAGTCCAATATGATTTTGGCTGATATATCTCGATGAAAATGTTGGAGACGCTTCTCGGTATTTCACCTCCAAGATCCGGACGTAGTGCTAAAATTCACTTAAGGAAAATACCCCTTTTCCGCACTCCGTCTCGAAGGGTCTCGAAGCGAGCCAACACCAACATCCCCCGATCCCGGTTCCCGCAAAATGAATGAAGACTGCAAGTATGAAACCAGGGGTGATGCCCAGAGAGCGGCTGGAACTCTCGCAGATCCACACAAACGGGAACATCAAAGCCAGTCTTTTACATGTTAAAGTATGCTCTGAGAAGATTCTTCTTTGACGAGGGACCAGTTCATGGCAGCCGCAAAAAGCCTGGTACTTTTCTTCTTCGCAAGAGACATTCAGAATGAAACAATTCCAACATAAATTAGAATCAAAGTAGCAAGTTTGTCTGCCCTCCGAACAATCAGTCAATGTTTGCACCTTCGGCGCTCGACGATGTAAGAAATTTACTATTTGATCGGAAATACAATGTTTTCGATTCTTAGACATTCAACAGTGAATGTAAAAGTCGTTTTAGGTCGATCCATAAATGCGAAAGTTGCACGAGTCCTAGTTCAAGCGACACTATTGCGTCTTGCAAAGACTCAGTGGTCGTAGCCAGGGTCGGCAAAGAATATTGCAGTTCTGGGGAACGGAAGGAACAATTTTGTTCACAATCAGCACACTCACATCGAATTCGAGTTCATTACATAAAAGGCAAAAACGCCACCACCAATTCAAACACGATTTCAAAATCATGCAAATTTTTATGATCGGGTTGGATTTTTCGATCGAGGGCCCAGCTTGAAATATGAATGAAGCCTCTCCAGAGCAGTTTCGAGAGGAGGCAGGCACCCTGCGACAAGGTTTTCCATGCAACAGCGGTTGACTCGGTCGCGTAGTCTGGTTGTTGAGTCGTTCACTGCCGATATTACGACATAGTGTCACTTCGAACTAAAGGCGCGATCGTGTGGCTGTTCCCGAATGTCTTGTGTCGACGTATTTCCATCGTTTAAAATATCAAGCTGCATGTTTCTGACTATGCTTGTTTTTGCAGGCAAACTGAGTGTTTCCCGCTATTTCGGACGCTGGAATTCCAGCGCTGGACTCGTGCCCGAAAGAATACAATGAACTGAGAATCCTACGGAATTCCTAAGTAAACTTTCGACAGAGGAACGGGAAAAAAGCATTCTATTCCATAAAAATTCTAGATATATTCAAAAACTTTCAACAAAATGTGCCAGGACAAGTAAAAAAAAATCGTTTATTTCTGACAGCACTGAACAGTTTAGGTTTTCGTCACGATTCGCTTCAAGATTTGGGTTTCGACTCTTGTCCTGGAAGATCACCAACGGCCATTCCTGGAATGAAAGGGTCGAAAACATGACAATTTGTTCACCGGGAGTAGGAGCGGGTCGCTCATCGTGGGCATCACATACCTTTTGGTGTCGTGGGTGCCAATGGGTTGAGGCAGTCGTGCTCCAGGCAGACGTCGGGGTTCATGGGTGCCTCGCATTCCACGTTGGCCGGCCAGTCGCAGTATTCCGCCTCCTCGTTGAACACGAGCTCGTCCGGACAGATGTAATAGTAGGCCGTGCCCATGTGACACCCGCAGAAGCTGCCGCAATCCTCGGGATGGGAGAAATATTCGTCTTCGGTCTCGGGGTTCCGGCACTCGTCGTCGAAGACCTCGCAGCCGCACTGGCAGTTTAGTTCCTTGCCCTTGAGGGACTTGAGATCTGCGGGGATCGCCGACGCGTATTCCACCATGACGAGGGCAAGCAGACATGCTGCTACTGCTGCTGCTGAGAATCGCATCTTCGCTGCAAAGACAGAAAAGTTCGTTTCGCTGAACGAGGGTGAAGAAACACTACCTGCGCGGGATCATCGACATGGAACAGGCAATGTGAAAGAATCAGAATCTGATATTTATAATTCCAGATGGCTTTTCCATAGATAAGTCTGGACTTTCCATGGATAAGTTCAGTCTGTCCAAACAAAGTTCATTCACAGAATGATCTTTGTTTGGACAATTCTCATGAGGCAAATTTATGAATGAAAATTCAAGATACAGAACTCCTGAAGGACATTATCGCTAGGCAAATGTGGATTAAGAGCATTCACGAGGAGTAAGAGCATTCACGTTCGTGATGCCAGGCAGACCCAATTTTACAATTAATGCAAGCACAGAAATATTAACGAGACGTTTCTTCTGAAGCACATGGTAAGAATTGCAACCAACGGTATTTTCTGAAATTGTTAAACGATCTTGAACAACTTCATAGATCATCAAAGCCTGCCGCAAGCAGAGCATTAAAGAATGATAATTTAAAAGAAAGTGGTTATTGAAATGAATGTAGAGGCTCGCTAACCTTGACTTGCGGCGGGCGACCCAGAGGAGACACTGATGTGGCAGGAGAGTGGAGGTGAGTGTCGACCTTACCGGGTTCGTCAGGGTATTTAAAGCCTCCCCAGTTATCTGGAGGTCATTCACGGCGTTCTTTATCTTTTTCCGCCTTCGTGTTGTCGTCAATGCTACGGTTCGCCCACTCGATGATATAACCAGACTCCTTTTAAGTCTCCAGTTGTCCGCGTATTAATAAATGTATAAATCAGTTATCTAGGTGACAGACGTGTGTCCTCGAGTGTGCTCTTTCATATTTCGCCATCTGACGTCAATAAAGATAAACTACTAATTACCCCGAGACGTCTGTCTTTGTCTGTCTGTGGTTACCTGTCTGCATGTTCCTCGTGCGTCTCTCTTTCTGTCGGTTTTTTTTTCCCACCATTTTCACTTATTGACAATAAGTGAAGCAATAGTAAACACTGTAAAAAAAATATTTAATAATTTCAGACATTTCCGATTCTTCTCCTTAAAAATTTTCCGACTATGACCTCCTAAACCTGGATTTCCCCTATTGCTTTTAAACAAATGTCCCGCATTTCCTTGGTAATCCCACTTAATGCTGTTCGTGGAATTTTTCTGTCTTTCCTTTTGATATACTATGCCTGAGGATTTGCATTCTGAGTCTGACAATGAAGCGGAATGCTTCTCGTGATAACAGGAAGATTTCCGTGTTGACTTCTCTGGGAAGTCACCCGACAGTTAAGCTTCTGATACGAATCATGGAGGACTCCCGCTCATTCATGGAATACCCTCGAACATTTAAGACATCACAATGCTACAGGAAACAGAGTTATTGTTCCCAGGGAGAAAGTCTATTCCTGTGAATTTTATCTTCACGGAGATTATGTGCATTTCCTGAGTGCCAGCGCGAAATGCGCATAAAGAATTCTTTCAAGTCACTATTTCGCCTCTCACAATCGCTCTTTGAGAAGGGAGAGATAGTGAGAGCAGGTCGCTGTTTTTTTCATGTGCAATTGACGTTATTCTCATCAGAAAAGGATTCACTGAATATTGTCATCTATTACGGGTATGTTCAACCTTCCCGTGAGGGAGACGAACCAAAAAACTTGGATTAATGTGGGTATCGAAGCGTCTTCAAGTAACAAATGCCATTAGGGAATCTCCGAATAAAAAGGAATATCTCCTAGGAAGATAAGAAAAATTACATGCTTTTACGTAAAAAAAAAAACATTCCGGCTAAAATAGTATTTTTACGTGAGAAAATAGGACACATGGCTTCCGCTCTAAATCGAATTTCCCTTTTCCGCTTCTTAGACGGAAACTAAACGGTTTTCCATGCCTTTGTAGGAATTTTTACAGTGAATAGGTTGATTGAAATCCTATTAAATCAACAAGAACTGCCAGAGATCACAACCTCCAAAGCAAGAAAGAATGAAGCATTAGGATAGTCAGAGAGGAGAAACAGAGGAAATCTCTTCCTGCGAAGCGCGCCTCGGTTTTCCTCTTTCGAAGGATGGTGTGAGTTTGAAGTGAAACAAGGCCAGGATTTCGCGGATAATTCAGAAAGTAATGAGGATTTTCTTCGACGATTCAGTACTGGAAAGAATACAGCCAGATTTAGAATGCAAAAAAAAACTTTGATTAAAGAAGAAAGTTTCACCAATGCTGGAGGTCTGCAGTCGTACGGTCATGTTATATGGAATACTTCCGGCCATATCGGTCTGAGTGGATAAGTGTAGCCGGAGAAGGATAGATTCATTTTATTAATACATTAAATATACAGTTTTATCCTACCTATGCTTCAAAAGCGGACGTTCTATATCGACTCTTTTTCATCACTTTGGGACACTTGCTTGCGGATGGAAAGATCGTAAACGTTCATTTTCCTCGTTGTAATAGATAAGGATGCGGAAAAGTCTCCATTTCTAATAGTTGCATGGACGTGGTCCCTTCATCACCACGCCGTGTGACTACCCTTCCCTTAGACAGATTCCTTGCAGATCGTCAGTGCGAACGTAGGAAAGAACGAAAGAGGCCATTGGCGGAAAGGAAGCTCACGCAATGAAGTCTTCAAGTTAAACAGTCTTTTTATATCCCTCACCCACTCCTTCTTTACAGAGATATTTACCTCATACAATTTTAATCAAGGGATTACATACCTTTTTAAAATCAGATGGGCGATGTGCAGACCTAAACCACTCCCGAAGTATCCGATGACAACACCGTGCCACAGGCCAAAGCGAATTCCAAGTAACCATCCCAAGTCATCCTTCAAGTGATGAAAAATAGCCTAGAGCAACAGCAGAAGGCAAATTACATAATTTTAAAAAACACGCAAAAAACGCAAAAAAACTGAGCAGTAGAGAGACAGCGGACTGAAGATCCCTTCTTAATCTTCAAGGTATTTATGATCTTCATGATCGCCCAGTCAAAACTCCAACATGAGTCATCACGTATTATATCCCAAATCAAGGGGAACTGAGACCTTCCGACCGTACGGAATTCGCCGTGATCGGTGGGCGGAGATTCGAGGAACGAACAAGGAAAGAGGGAACAATATCCACTGAAGCTCGGGGAGCACTCAATTTTTTCTTGAACTTGTGTAAACTGATAAGGAGCAAACGAAGGTTAGTGCAATCGAAACGAGATGACGCCCAAGTAGCCGCTAAGGGAAATCTCATTTAGTTGCAATTTAGTTCCCCGAAACTTTCCACACGGTGCCCGATATTTTTCCACAGGCCCTGGCAGTCGTGCTCCAGGCAGACGTCGTGGTTCATGGGTGCCTCGCATTCCACGTTGGCCGGCCAGTCGCAGATTTCCGCCTCCTCGTTGAACACGAGCTCGTCCGGACAGATGTAATAGTAGGCCGTCCCCATGTAACACGCGCAGAAGCTGCCGCAATCCTCGGGATGGGAGAAGAATTCGTCTTCGGTCTCGGGTTTTCGGCACTCGTCGTCGAAGACCTCGCAGCCGCACTGGCAGTTTAGTCCCTTGCCCTTGAGGGACTTGAGATCTGTGGGGATCGCCGACGCGTATTCCACCATGACGAGGGCAAGCACACATTCTGCTGCTGTTGCTGCTGAGAATCGCATCTTCGCTGCAAGGAGTTCGCTTCACTGAACGAGGGTGAAGAAACACTAGCTACACTAGACCATCAACATGGAACAGGCAAGGCGAAAGATTCAGAATCTGATTATTATAATTCCAGCTGACTTTTTCATAGGTAAATCTGGACTGACAATGGACGGTTCACCTCTCCGAATATCATCCGATTCAATCTGCCCCAAAGGGAAGGCGTCCTATGGAACTCTGAGTTCAGTCTGTCCAAAACAAAGTTCATTCACAGAATGATCTTTGGACAATTCTCATAAAGCAAATTTATGAATGAAAATACACGATACAGAACTCCTGAAGGACATTATCGCTGGGCAAATGTGGATGAAGAGCCTTCTCGAGTCACGATTAGATCTCAAGTTCCTGCTGCCAGGCAGTTCTAATTTCACAATAACTGGAAGCATAGAAACATTAACGAGGCGTTTCTTTTGAAGCAAATGGTAAGAATTGCAACCAGCGTTATTTTATGAAGTTGGTAAACGATCTTGAAAAACTTTATAGATTATAAAAGCCTGCTGGAAGCAGAGCATAAAAGAATGATGATTAAAAGAAGTCGGTATTGAAATGAATGCAGCGGATTGCTAACCTTGACTTGCGGCCGATGACCCAGAGGAGACACTGAGATTGCAAGGAGAGTGGAGCTGACTGTCGAACTTACCGGGTTCGTCGGGGTATTTAAAGCCTCCCGAGTTATCTGGAGGACATTCAGGGGGTTCCTTATCGTTTTCCGCCTTCAATAATTGTCAATGCTACGGTTCGCCCACTCGATGATATTGCCAGACTCCTTTTATGTTTCCGGTTGTCCGCGTACTTACCAATGTATAAGTCAGTTATCTCGGTGACAGACGTGTGTCCTGGAGTGTCCTCTTTCATATTTCGCCATCTGACGTCAATAAAAATAAGCTACTAGATGTCCACAGACGTCTGTCTTTGTGTATATATTTCTGCTTCTGTCTTCGTTCGCCTTTCATTCTGTCCGTTTTTTTTCATCACTTTCACTTTTTTGCAATAAATGAAATAATAGTAAACACTGTAAAAAATAATTTTAAAATAAAATAGCTTAAGAAATTTCCGATTCTTCGTTGAAAAAATTTCCGTCTATGACCTCCTAAACCTGGATTTCCCCTATTGTTCTAAGAAAAAATGTCCCGCATTTCCTCGGTCGACCTACTTCATGCTGCTCATGGAATTTTTGTGTTTTTCCTTTGATACATTATGCCTGAGAATTTGCATTCCGAGTCTGACAATGAAGGGGAATGCTTCTCCTGATAACACGGAATTTTCCTTGTTGACTTCTTCGGGAAGTCACCCGACAGTTTTAGTTTCTGATGGGAATCGTAGAGTATTCCCACTCACTCATGGAATACCCCCGAACATTTAAGACATCACGATGCCACAAGAAACAGAGTTATTGTTCCTAGAGTGAAAGTCCATTCCTGTGAATTTTATCTTTACAGAGAATATGTACATTTCCTGTGTGCCAACGATCCACACCGGGAAATGCGCATAAAGAATTCTTTCAAGTCGCTATTCCGTCCTTCTCACTCGCTCTTTGAAAAGGGAGAGAAAGTGAGAGGTGCTTGCTGTTTGTTTTCGTGTGCAATTGACGTTATTCTCATCAGAAAAGGATGCACTGAATAGTATCATGCATTAATGGTATGTTGAACCTTTCCGTGAGGGAAAGAATGTGGAAAAATCTTGGAAATAATGTGGGTACCGAGGAGTCTTCGAGTAAAGAATGCCATCAGGGAATCTCCGAATAAAGAGGAATTTCTCCTGGGAAGATAAGAAAAAACGATCCACTTTTACGTAAAAACCGATTCCAGCAAAAATAATATTTTTACGTGAGAAAATAGGACACATGGCTTCCGCTCTAAATCGAATTTCCCTTTTCCGCCTTTTCGAGGAAACAAGACGGTTTTCCATGCGTTTCTAGGAATTTTCCGAATTTTTTTTTACAGTAAATAGGTTGATTTAAATCCTGTTAAATCAACAAGAACTGCCAGAGACCACAACCTCAAAAGCAGGAAAGAA